TTCAAGAGTGGCTATTTGGACCAATCATAGGTTTTCACAGTTTGGCTTTGCACCAATGAGATTTTGAGAGTGGCCATTTGGACCAATCATAGGTTTTTCACAGTTTGGCTATCCACCAATGGGATTTTGAGAGTGGCCATTTGGACCAATCATAGGTTTTCACAGTTTGTCCAAGCACGAATGAGATTTTAAGGGTGACCAAATAAATGTATTTTAGCTTTTGTTTTTAATTCGGCTATGCGCTAATGATATTTTGTGAGTTAAGATTCGGAGCGAGGATGGATTTTTAAGTTTGTGTGGGCGTGGATGTAGAGGTGTGCATGTGGGTGTTGGTGTGGGCGTGGGTGAGGATGAGGCTGAGGGTGAGGGTGGGAATGTGTTTTTGATAGGGGGAAAGTGAGAATATGGGTTTGATAGGGTGTGGATGTGGCGAGTGTGGGAGTGAGTTGAGTTTGGATGTGAGTGTGGGAGTGGGTGTGGGTGTTGGCGTTCGGTGCGTTTGGATGGGTTGGAGTGTGAGTGTGTGTTTGGATTTGGAATTGAATGAAACATTCTTATGCATATCGACACCGACATCCACACTAGATCCTGCACTCATAGGCACCGTGTTTGTGTTTGAAACTGGCAGTCTAGATTTGAGTATGGTCGAAATACCTGTTGGGGCAGTATTCTTGGGTATTTTCTGTGAGTTTTAGTGATGTGTGGTAGTTAATGATACCGTACTGGTTGTATATGAAAGTTTATCGAATGAAATGACGGTGGTTCGGTTGCCTTTAGTCCTCAATGCAGTTTGTGGTTTTGTTACGATGGGGTCACATGAAGGTGCACTTGCGAGTTTAGCGGAGATATTGGTAACAAAATATGGTTGACACTGTTTGTCTTCTCTGGAATCGTTACTTAAGAAAGTTTTATATGACGTATGTCATATATAGCTTGTATTGTAGTATATAGCTGTCAAATGCTGCTTGGGATGCCGGTTGGATGCGCAAGCGATAGTGACTTTCTATCAATACGGTTCGTTTGCATAGTTCAAATTCTTTTCATTTTCTTTTGTCTTTATCGCTTTTATTTGAAATAGAGTTTCGTACAAGTTTTACAAAATGATCTATGGGCTAGAACTGTAAAATGCACAAATTTCGAGCATGCAATATAGAGTTTTTTTTATCAGTTAGATGGTTTGCCTGAAGATCACGGCACTCTTGGGATGTTGTTGTTTTAAACAATGAATTGAAAACGTTTCCGAGTACTTTGTGCTATTTTATCTAATCTTTTAAGTTCTTCTATTTGGGCCATTGATGGTTTAACTTGAAGTGTTCCAAATTCGAATGGACGTATGATTAGTAAATCGTCAAGTCTCTTTACACGAGATAATGGAACATAAACCGATGCGAGTTCAATTGGGCCAGACGGCATCACCAGATCGACGATAATTTTACCGAGTGTTTGGCCTTGGCTTTTATGTGTTGTCATGCTGTATGCGGGTATAAGCGGAAGTGCTTTACGTTTGACCGTGAGTTTTGTTGTTTTCTTGTTTATTTTGGCTGCTTTTGCTACATTTTCTGGAAGAAGTTCTTTGGCGTCGAACAAGAATGTTTGTTCACTAATAGCTATAGGAACTATTTTGGACTGCAGTTCAGCAAGTTTGTTATCAAGTTTGCAACCAGGAAATTCTACTAAAGCATACTTTGTTTGCGTTATAAACTTGGTATTTGGTGGAAAATTCTTATCCTGGTATCGAACATCTTCTGATGATTCATCGTATACAAGTTGACGAAAGATTCCACGTGTACCATTGGAGAGTCTGAGTTCAGTAGCGACGTTTTCTGTGAGTAAAACTGGCATTCCTGGTACGAGAGGTAAATAGCCTGGAAGATGTTCTGTTTTATTATCAGGTAGTTCAAGTATTGCTTGACGTAATCGTAAATCATCCACAATTTTTCCTTGAATATAATCTTGAGCAATGCATAAATTGGGGTAAGTCCCATTTCCATTGTTTTGTTTAAGACAGCCCTATTATTAATTTGAGTGCGTAGCGTATTCCGAAAAACTAGTATTGGAGCCTATTAATAGAAAAGTAATGTGATACACAGAGAAAATGAGTATGCATACTTCGCTCCATGGCTTTTGTTGTAGAGATACTTGAAGCTTTGAATTTCCTATGACTCTCGTACACAGAAGTTGGTAATCTTCTATTGTCGATTGTCCATGTCTTAATCTATTTTAAAGCTCCAAATATCTTATGTCTTCGGTTCGCATTTGCTGAGTTAATTCAACAACGCAGTTTATTTCAGACATAAGCTTCTGTGCACACAACATATCTATCTGACGTTCTGTAATTTGTTGTGTCGGTGCGCAGCTATAGTAGAGAGGCTTGTCCAAAACAGGAGAATATTGAAGGTAGTCGTCAAAGAAAATGACATTGACACCACCAAAGGGTATCTCAGAATTTACGTGCTTGGCTGTTTTCACTATTCGATTGAGACGAGCTAATAGGCTAAATCCTACCATACTCATCTCATCGATTATCAAGTACTTCACATGACGCCATTCATTTTCCAATTTCGTATCGCCAGGTCTAAATGTACGGGTTTGTTTCTTTTTACTGTTTTTGCGACTTTCACCTAAAAATGAATGGATAGTTAATCCGTCAATTTCAGCTGCTGCTATAGACGTTGGTGCCAGTTTACGCAACATCTTGTCCCTCTTGGTTACTTGGAAATATTTAGTAGTTGCGCGAATCAACTGAGATTTTCCAGTACCACCGCAACCAGGTATGCACATTAATAACTGATTATCGATAGCATCTAAATATCAAGACTATTCAAAACTGTCGATAACAAAATCAATAAAATATTATATACCGGTATAAGAATGATTTTCGCCATCTAAGTGACTAGATATAATCATAAAAGCATATTTTTGCTGAGTGCTTAGTGTAAATTGTCTGATAATATCTTGTTTTGTTGGAAATAATATTGCATTGGTTGTAGTCACAGGTGGAACTCTTGTAGCTCTCGTTTTAATGGGACTTGTTGGAATTTCAGTTGCTACGACTTCAATCTGTGTTTCATCATCTCGCACTTCCAGAGTATTTTCACCTGAAATTGAATAGTTTCTTGCTTCATCTCGTCGACCTTCAATGTCACGTTTCCATCCTTTAATCATGACGCTGTGATGTGCGTGAGCTACCACAAATGTGTTGATGTCGTGTATGGTGCCATAATTATTTTGGTCCCAAATGTGTCTGCTGTCTAAATCAAAACAAAATATTTTCGAAATATAGTAGTAATTAACTCACCATTTAGTAATGCAAATCTATCTGTATTATCAATTGCTTGTAATGCATCATGGACATAGCGTTGTTCTTGAGTAGCTGTCAATGCAGAGTAAGCGTTTGTCGTGATCTCATTTACGATGGAGAGCATTTGCAAAAGTTGTTCAGGATCGTCTTCTTCTGCATTTTCGTCGCCTTCATAGTAATTAGGCATCAAAATAGGGTCAATGCTGTTGTCATTTTGGGCTTCTAAAAGAACTTGATGAAGATGTTCATCCCGATCGTGTTTGCATTCGTGCAAAAGTTCTATATTTTCTATAATCTTAAGCGAGTTGGGAGAGATTAATAGCCTTCGAACTTCCAATGCTTCAGACCATGTCTCGTTCGTTGCACAAAGGTTCTGGACTGATCGCCATGGCACGAATAATGTTAACAACACGCGACAATAACGTTCATGTGTTTCTTCTCGTTCGCGGCGAGGTATTTGAGGACCTATCAGAACTGGTACTACTGGAATGGAACGTTTAATTATGAGATGAGATGTTGATTGTGGATGTGCGCTGTCAAATGTATGACGTTCATTCATTTTCGTTCCTCCTCTAGGTAATTGTAGGCCTTGAGGATCGGTTACATTCTTTAGCAAATGACGATCCGATTTGTCGATAACCTTCTTGTGAAAATGGCTCAC